TTGAGAACATTGTTGAATTCTGACCAGAAACCGAACTTTCAGGGTACAATCTAATAATATGATGTCTCTGTGCGAGTTAAATTTTTGCAGTTTTCCACATGGCCATGTATCCCGGAAAATATCGCGACATTACATGTAAATGAAACGCGGTATATGACACGTTGGTGACCGTTCTCAACGGACATGTTCTTTCAAACCGAAGAAGACGCCAAGTTCAAATTTAACTTTTCCCAACGAGTGAAAACAGATCTCTCGTGGAGCGAACTTGAGAGGTTATTTTGTGCGGTATCAACTCGAGTTACTGTTTAAGAATAGCATATGTATTTTTTTCCGTGTAGGAAGTGAATATCTTAATGCAATTAAAATATTCGATTTCAAGAAGTAAATTGGTTTCAACTAGTAACATGTATCGGAACCACAGCCTAACGTTCAATTATGAGATCGCCTTGTAGTATCGATGTTCGTTGACAGCGGTACGACTCTCTTTTCATCTATGTGACACGTTTAAAGATTTAGGCGATCGATGTCGCCAGGAAGTACCATAATAACCGGCCAACAACGGGTGTGTACATAACACACACATCGACACAGCGCGAAGATCTTTCATTCAAGTTGATTGTATTCGTGTCGTACGCGGGTTTCGAACGTATACCCCATAATGCCATTCGGCAATGATGTCATTATAAAGAGCGACTCTGAGCAGAAAAAAATTTCAATTTTGAAGGGCGGTAGCCGTCGCGCCGCGCATATGCGACATTTGTGTTGATAAACATTGATTTTCTCATATTCCAAAGCGCTTTTATAATGAATTAACGAGTACGAGTTTTGCCATGGATGACACTTGCACTAAAACACACACTTCCAAAAAACCCCCAAAATACCTAATTAAAGCTTGGTAATCTCTCAGTTTGTACTAGTTGGTGTGCAAAACAGTCAAAATCGTCATCTTTGTTTATATGAGATCCATCGCGCAAGCGCGGCGCGACGACTACCGTCCTTTAATATAAAACTTTTCTCTTTTTTTAACCCCCCCCCAGTAGACCAAAATAGTCAACAAATGGTAATATATATAACCAAACGTAGATTGAATTCGAACACGACGTAGTCCAAACATGTCTCTTATATCACGAACAGGATCCCGCGATCTCAAAACCCCCGGTATAACCACTGTCGGTGGTTTGGAGTATTTTATGGCAAAGTAATAGAAGACAACTTAAGTGTGTACATGCATTAGGGAACATTACACAGTCATCCGACAATGACGTCATCTTTTACTATGTACATCACCCATCGTTAAGCGAATGTGGGATGTTAGTGCTTCCCCCATTGTCAACTAACTGGGAATAATATTGTGTCGCAGAAATAAATACTGGTCGAGTGTTGGTCGAGTGTTGATTGCTTGTAGCCAAAACCAGCGACAAAAGCAAAAATAATCCAAACAACACTTATAATATGACGTCGCTATTCTGTTTGTGTTCTACACCCATCTTCAATGACTTTCTTTTTTATGGTTAGATTAATGTCGCCTATTCCGAGATTGTAGATATAGCGTTGTATTCTGTTGTCTTTGACTTTTCATAAGTTTGCGTAGAAGGTGAAAGTCATGGACATATTGTATGTATTCACT